AAACCGTGGGAGGCCTTGTTCAGAAGTGATTAAGAATTGGAAAAAAAAAAAGGTTATTAGGAGTTGTAATATGTCAGCAATTGGTCATCCACCCAAGGTTTGGGGGGTGGGGGCTGTGGGCACACAGGTCGCACTTCTGTTTCAGGGATATCTGGGCAGGGGAGGGAAAGGGAAACTTGGGAGGTATGACTGCTAGCTTCTCCGGGGAGTGGGGGTGCGGGGAGGCGGGGGGGAGCCAGGGAAAATCACTGTGCTGTTTTTATTTCCCATGTTTCTGTGTTAGGAAGACAGGGAGCTTTGCCCAGGGGCATCTGCATTTCCTAGTTTCTGTGAGAACGATGGTAGAAAGCTCAGGACAGTGGTTACATTAAGATTGGAAATCGTGTTCTGGGTCCTTTCCACCACTGAAGAGCTTTCCGCCCTGAGTTAGTCCCAGCCACTGAGTGCTGGGCTCTTCACCGAACTCTGGGCCTCTCCCCTTCCCCCTCCTCCTCCCACCTCGCTAGGCCTTTCCCTCCACTCTGAGCCCCTGCACAGGGACATTTTACTCGGCTGAGCTGGGAAACCGTAGATGTTGGAGCATATGTACCAGTGCCTGCTTTCCCTCCTCGCCTCTTCCTGCTGCATTTTCTCCTTTTCATTCTTTTGGTTTTATTTGTTTCTCATTCAGACACACGCTAAACACTGGCCCCACATACAGGCCTGAACTGCCCATTTTCTGATCGGAGTGTGACAGCGAGGGGGAAGGAAGTCGCATTCATGGTCAGGAGCCGCGTGGGAGCTCAGCAGAGTGGGAGGGCTGAGGTCTTCCTTTGTTGAGGCTGCGAAGTCGAGGTTCACCCCCTCTCCACCCCCAAATACCAGCATGCTCCTGGGGCAACCTTGGTGAAGAAGCACAAGTGACCTCTTGACGGCGTGGCCCCCTGTGGCTCCTGTGTCCACTATGGCCCCCGTGGCCCTCCTCCTGAGAGGGAGTGGGCCCCCTGTGGCTCCTGTGTCCACTATGGCCCCCGTGGCCCTCCTCCTGAGAGGGAGTGGGCCCCCCGTGGCTCCTGTGTCCACTATGGCCCCCGTGGCCCTCCTCCTGAGAGGGAGTGGGCCCCCCGTGGCTCCTGTGTCCACTATGGCCCCCGTGGCCCTCCTCCTGAGAGGGAGCGGGCCGTTGGCTGCCCGTCCCCCAGGAGGAGGGCCCGTCCCCCAGGAGGGGTGCCCGTGTGCGGGTTGGCCTGCTGGGGTAGCACAGACTGCCCTGCAGCCCAGCGGATTAAAGGGGTTTTTGTTGAGGCAGAGCAGATGGACAGAGAGCGGCAGAGTTCACATTAACCCGTCATAAATCAGGACGCCCTGTAGGAAGGGAAAAATCTGGCAGGGGGTCAATGGGGAAAAAAGGGACATTTGTAATACTTTCAACAATAAAGGTAAAAAAAAAAAAGAAATCTGAGCCTGGTCACTTAGGCGTTTGAGCTAATTTAATTTATTATTTTTTCCTTATTAGAAAAGCACCTCGTGCTTATTTTTAAAAAACCGACGTGAAGAATTAAAAAAGTGTGTGTGCCAGACAGAAAGATAAACCCCACGTCCCCAGAAAGAATTGCTGTCACCCCTTTCAGTCGAATCCTTCTGGTTTTGCCCTGTCTCCTGCTAACACACACACACACACACACACACACACACACACACACACGCCATTATTATTTAATAAGAATAACGTACTCTTTCACCTACATGTTGGAAGAAGGTGGGAACCAGGCCTCGAAGACCAGAACACCCGCGTGATAGTTTGGGTCAGGCCACCAGCATCAATTTGAGTAATAAAACCAAAGACAGCGTGTAAATTTATGTTTGGGGAAGTTGGGGCAAGTCCAGGGAAGGAGAAGTGCATTGACGTTTCTGTGTACGGTGGTCCTGTCGCCCCCTAGTGGTTCGAGGAGAACTGTTCGGGCAGGAAAAGAATTCTGTGCATTGGACCCTCTCTGGGCCCATTTCTAATGGTCTGTTTGGATCAATGGCTGTTCTTTAGTCCCCCTGTCAATATATTTACCAAAGCCCACGACAGGATCAGTGCCTGAGCCTAGTAGGTCTCTGGCCCGTTGGGGCTCAGGTCATTGGACTGAATGTTAGCGCCGTGTTTTATGACAGTGGGACACTATTAAATGCTCACCTCGTGGGGTGAGAGACACATTCCTGGAGAGGCACTAAGGTGGGTTAGCCCATTACCATCTGCGTCGTGCTTTCTAGGAGTCATTAGTGTTCGTGGACAGTTCTTTTAGTGCCAGTTCTACTTAATATGACAAAACCTAGTTAAATATAAAAATTAGCGAAAACCCAACCCAGTGGAACCTATTACAGTTGTTTCAGTAGAAATAATTGGAATGCTTTAAAAAGTCTCCAAGGTGCTGACTTAGTAAAAAGACACCAGAGGTTAAATATGTGAAATATTGTGGAAAATTGTAAAAATCTAGAGTTGTGCACTCAGATTATTTCTGTTGGTGTCTTTAAGTTATTTTCAATGCTGAAGGAACAAAAGCTAGGAATCCTCATTGGTGTTGAATGAATGATGGAGTCATTATTACTCTTTCTTTCCTCTCTCTCGTGAGTTAAATGGGCTTGTTACAAGATGCCAATAACATAAAGATTTTATGGTGTTGCTCCCTCGTGTGAGAATTGGACCCGCCTGGACACAGGCCCTGACCAGCCAGTTCCACCTTCATCTCTCTGTTCCCTGCCTTCATGCCATGTTTTTGTACTTGCTAAAGGAGCACACATGTGTCCTACTCACGTGCTCTCTCACCTCTGTGCCTGCCTTCCTTCTACTGCGGGCAACCAGGATCCTTCGTCTGGTCAGTTCTGGCCTCACCTCTCCTGTGAAGCATTGGTCCACACCTCTCTGCCCCCCACCCCTCCACTCATTATTTGATTCTCGCCTCCACTTGAAAGTGAATTCCATGGATCCCCACCCTTAGACTGTCTGGCATACAGCAGGCGTCCAGTGCATGGTGCTGGAATGTTGATTGAATAGTCAGTGCCTTCTGTGTGCTGAGCACTGTTCTAGATCCTTCTTCAAAGGTGGACTTCCCCTCCTTCCTTGTCCCTCACTCAGCTCACTGACTCACTCCCATCATTTCACACACTATTTTGCACCAGCAGCATCTCTCTGGCTGTCTTTCCTACCAGCTCATGAGTTAGCAAACTACAGCTGGTGGGCAAAATCAGCCCCACTACCTTTTGTTTTATTACTAGAGGCCCGGTGCACAAAATTCATGCACTCCACGGGGGAGGGGGGTGGTGGGGGTCCCTCAGCCTGGCTTGCACCCTCTTGCAGTCTGGGAGCCCTTGGGGGATGTCCTAAGCCGCAGTTGGACATCCTTAGCGCTGCCACAGAGGTGCGAGAGGCTCCTGCCACTGCTGCTGTGCTCACCAGCCATGAGCCTGGCTTTTGGCTGAGCAGTGCTCCCTCTGTGGGAGCGGACTGACCAACAGAGGGCAGCTCCTGCATTGAGTGTCTGCCTCCTGGTGGTCAGTATGCGTCTTAGCGACTGGTTGTTTCACTGTTTGGTTGATTTGCATATTATATAGGATTTTTTTGGTATGGCTTGGGAGCTGAGGTTGGTTTTTCACTTTAAAATATGAAATACAGACCAAAGACTATTAGCCTTTGGCAGGGAGACCGTGGTTGGGAGAATTGCAAACATTGTCTCTTGGCCAGGACACACCACACTGTTTACTGTCTGGCCTAGGGGTCCTCAAACTTTTTAAACAGGGGGCCAGTTCACTGTCCCTCAGACCGTTGGAGGGCCGGACTATAGTTTAAAAAAAAACTATGAACAAATTCCTATGCACACTGCACATATCTTATTTTGAAGTAAAAAAACAAAATGGGAACAAATACAATATTTGTATTTGCATGTGGCCCGCGGGCCGTAGTTTGAGGACCCCTGGTCTGGCCCTTTATGGCACACGCTTGCTGACTCCTGCCTGAGGCACGGTTTTAGGATATGGGGACCCACTTTAGTCTCTGAATTCCTAGGGTGCAGCACTCAATAGGCATTTTTTGAGTTGAACTGAACTCACTGTTTGTCATTCCTTCCTCTGGAGTCGGATGTGGATTTGAATACCTGTGAGACAAGGCATCTCTGAGCCTTTGTGCTCCTTTGAAGAATGAGATAATCATGCCTTCTCCTGGTGGCTGCCCCGAGGAGTAAACAAAGCCATTCACATGCCAATACCTATTCAGTGTTTAGCACAGAATTAGCATTTAAAATTTTTTATTTTAATCCTCACCGAAGGATATGTTTTTTTAAATTGATTTTTAGAGAGTGAAGAAGGGAGAGAGAGAGAAACATCCATGTGAGAGAGAAATATCGATTGGTTGCCTCCCGTACACACCTGGACTGGGGATCGAACCCGAAACCTTATGGTGTACGGGATGACGCTCCAACCTACTGAGCCACCCGGCCAGGGCAGCACAGAATCAGCGTTTGATGTTAGCTGTCCCATTTTTTTGTTCAGATAAACATCCAGCAAAAGTAACCTGATCATAACCATATAAACCAAACTGTATAGCAGTTGCAAATTAAAAAAATAAAATAATTAGTCCTTTTGGGTTAGCTTCTTTCTTTTTGAAAATTAAGAGCTGCCCTTCTGCCCTTTTTTCTCTCTTCCCCATATCTGTGGGTTTTCTTTTTCTTTTTTCGTTTGAGGCTGAATGATTTTCTTAAGGTGCGGACGTGGGAAAGTTTCTAAGGCACCATTAAGACAGAAGATCTCGCTTGAGGGGTGTGGGCACTTCCCAGAGCTCCGTCAGGGGGTAGTTTCTGGAGCTGTTTCTGCCTCAGGCGCACCTTTCTCAGGGGGGTAGGAGGTGATGCAGGGGCGAGGGTGGGGGCTCATCCTTCTGTATGCACCGGCTTTGAAGGCTTTGAAGGCGCTGGGCACGCTATAAAGACGCATGGAACTGGAACGAGTTCAGATGGATGTGTCTTGGACCTGTTTCTTTGCAGGGACCGTGAAGGTGAAGAGTGCCAACATCCAAGTGGGAGACCTGATCATCGTCGAAAAGGTGAGGGGGTCTCTGCTGTGTGTGTAAATGGGGAGTCCCTGCTCTCACATCACGATGCTGGCGTGCAGTCGGTGGCTCTGATCGAATGTTCGCTGTTTGCAGTTCCATCCAGCAGCTCTGCTGGGGAGAAAAGTCTCTCTCTTTCCTGAGAAGCACAAAGTATTTTTTCAAGTTTACATGTGTCAGTTAGCTAGAAGTCCTACATAAGTTTTGATTTCCTGTTTGATGTGTTTGTTGTTCTTTTTGGGGTCTTTTTAAAAATTTTTTTACTTACCATGAAGTCTTTCTTAGAAGTCTATTAACTACATACACATGTTTGTCATTTACCTTTTGAGCAATTTTAGCTTGCATTTAAAATAATTAAATATATGTCTATATTTTATTGATTTTTAGAGAGGAAGGGGTAGGGAGAGAGAGAATCATTGATCGACTGCTTCCTGCAAGCCCCCTACTGGGGATCGAGACCGCAAACCCCCTACTGGGGATCGAGACCACAAACCCTTTACTGGGGATCAAGCCTGCAAACCGGCCATGTGGCCTGACCAGGAATCGAACCGGTAACTTTTTGGTTCCCGGGACATTGCCCAACCAACTGAGCCGCATCGGCCAGGCCTTAGCTTGCATTTTTTGACTTAAACATCATGCTTTTCAATCATTTTATGGGGAGTAGAGGTTACTATGAGAACAGTAAAAAGGCAAAAAACACATTTTTAAAAATAGCACTGCTGATTTGCTCCTTACTTCAGCGGATACTCACATCTCTTCTTACTGTGTTATTTGGAAGGCATTGGATTTTGAGGCTGGTTCTGGACAGTCTCGGGATAATATTTGATTTGAAAGGAGTGTGTCTGGACTGGGTTCTGTAGGAAGTGAACTGTGCTCTTTTAAAAGGATTAAACCCAACAACTCCGAGCTGATTTGCGGGAAAGTGAAGCCCTTCTGGGCGGCAGCGCGGAGGAGCCACACCCCCTGTGCTGCTCTGCACAGTCCTCTCTGTTCACAATTAAAAGAGGCTGCTGTCGGCTTCTCGCTCTCCTTTTGAGAACGGCTTTTGTTCCTTCCTGTGACTTGACTTCCTTATTAGAATCCCACTGGAAGCCAAACCTCCAGCCGGGAAAGGGGTAGAAGCGGAGAGTGTGAGCAGGGGGCGCCTATCTTTCCTTTCAGCAGACAGCCTGGACTAAAGTCAGCGAGGGTCGTGGGCGTGAGGCCGGCGTCCCTTGCTGGAGTTTCGGGAGGTAATGGTTGGATTCGCCAGGAAGTTAGAAGCTCTCTTTCTGAGATGTGATTTCAACAGGGCATTAGGCACGTCACAGCAGCGTGCAAAGGTTTTCAGATTCAGAACAAAATACCGCCCCCGCCCCCCACCCCGTCTGTCTTGGACAAAGGCAGACACTGAAAAGACGCCGTGGGTTTCGATGGCTCCCCGCCACCAAGGGGCGGGGGGTAGGGGAGGCGGAAACCCACCTGGGATGGCCCACAGTAACAGCCCTTCTTTTCGTAACAGAACCAGCGGGTGCCTGCTGACATGATCTTCCTGAGGACATCAGAAAAGAACGGTAAACAGCTGGGATCGATTTGGAAAATAACCATTAACCTTTCAGTGGCAATTTGGCAAAGTAATCATTCGAAAATGTAACTGAAGTAGATGATCATTTCAGAGTCACGGAGGTGAATCCAAACAGCCCTTTTAATGGAGCAATCCTAAAACAATGTTTTCGGTGCTCGCAGGGCAATAGATTGTGATCATTACAAAAATACTGCTAGTTGGACCCCTGCTGAGTCTCCGCTGGTGAAGTCTCATATGTACACGCGCACACACACACACACGCACACACATGCACACACATGCAGGCATGCTCGCATGTGCTGCTTTCCCTCCCTGGGCTGTGTGAGGCTCAGCTTCAGGCGTTGGCGGGAGGAGGAAGAGTGTCTGACAAACAGAAATTCCCTCTCTTCTGAGAAAATACCAGGAGGTGTGTGATGAGGCGGGCAGTGGGGCCCGGGAGAGAGGTAGGTGTCCCTTTGGGCCCTGAGTCATGAGTGGTGAGTGGCGGGGCCAGGTCCACCCTTGCCCGTCAGTTTGTCTGTTGTTCCAGCCCATTGGGGTTGAGTACCGCTCCCGCCTTTCCAAGCCCCTCTCACTGCGGTCTCCCCGCGTGGCTGCCACCGCCTGCCCGCCCCGTCCGTTGGCTCACGTCTCCTTTCCCTTTATTTTTGATATTTAAGCTGCTCTGAGGAAACAAGGCTGTTTCTCTCTGGCCTATCAGGCACAATCAGAGATCTTTGAACCCCCGGAAAGATTCGCACTTGTATTCCTTTGAGGTTCCTGCAGCCGATTTTATTACAAATTGAATAAAAGCACGGGTGAAATCTTACACTAATAATATATGAAGTAATGCAGAGAGGGGGGTGGAAGGCATGATGAAAGCAGCCTTCTTTTAAAAATTGTGGCTTTGTCCTCAAATCGGTTCTGTGTCCTGGTCCATGAGTGTTGGGGATTAGGTTCCCTGAAGGGCTCTCCCTTTCTAAAACACCCCCCCCCCAAAAGATAGGAAGTTCCCAGGAGCCTTCGCTGCAGCGCTGGCGAGTTCCGCGCACTCTCTGTCTGATGAGGGACACGGCCGATCTGTGGCTTGGACTTGCACGTCAGACCCACATACGCGCCCACACAGAGTGCGCGTCGGTGATTACGGCCGACCTACCTGGCGCTCTCGGCTTGGCATGGACCAGCGCTTTAGCTCTCACAGTCTGAGCTCGGTGCTGTTAATCTCCATTTTCACACTCAAGGGAAACTGAGGCTAAGGACCTGCAGCTAGTGAGTGTCGGAGCCCGGACTTGAACCCAGGAGGTCTGGTTCCTGAGAAGGTGCTTGTAACCCCTGCCCAGAACAGACTCGAATGCTGGCTCTCGCAGGCCGCCTCCACGCTGGGCTTCTGTCACCACTGAGTCCCGACAGCAAGCTTGGGAGGTGTGTGTTTCTTCCCGTTTTATGGTGAGGAAACACCGAGGTTAGCAAGGTGGAGAAGCTGGTGCCGGCTCCCACTGCGAGTGAGTGGGGGAGGGAGCATTTGCACCCAGATCTTTCTGACCCTAGAGCTTAAGGAGGAAGTGGGAAACGGGGTATTTTTCTTCCCTTTTGGTGGTTGGCCATTTGTTGGCTGTTTTTACAAGGACCAGGGCGGGGGCTGCCCCGAGCGGCCACCAAAAGGCTTCGTGAGCTGCTGGTGAACAGAAGGCACCGGCTTCCTTCACAGGGTCTTGCTTCCTGCGGACGGACCAGCTGGACGGGGAGACGGACTGGAAGCTGCGGCTCCCGGTGGCCTGCACGCAGAGGCTCCCCACGGCCGCCGTGAGTAGCTCTCCCTGCAGAGGCACAAATGGCCACTGTCCTGGCAGAGCTTGCAAACTCGGGCGCCCTCCGGGCCAGGCAGGGGTGTCAGAAGTGAAGTGGCTGGTGGGGTGTTTTGGGGCCCTGGGAGCCTTGAGTGCCGGTTGGTTCCACGTACCGTGGCCACGCGAAATGCAGACTCGGCATGCGGGACGGAGCTCTTCCGAGGGGAGCGCAGAACCTTAGGAAACCGTGACCGGGACAGAGTGTAAAAGTAAAGGTAGGCCAAGCATGTCTTCCTCTGCTCAGAACTCCGGAGGCTCTCAGCTCTGAGAACCCGTCCCACAGGCCTCGCTGGCACCTTCCAACCCCGTGTCATCCGTACACTCTCTGCGGAGGCCCTGACTCCGCTTCGGGCCCTCCCCTCTCCCCACGCTGCAGCCACACTGGCCTCCCCGTCAGGCATGCGTCTGCCTCCCAGCATCTGTCCTGGCCGTGTCTTCCACTGGGAACAGTCAGACTGGAATTGTCTGCTGGCTGGGCACCTGCATCGTATCCTTAGGTCTTGTACACCCGTCTCGTAACGGAGAGGCGTTTTCTGGCCACCTTCTCCCTGCATTCCCACGCCACTCACTTCAAGGCGGTATCTTTGAGAGTAGGGTTCTGCCCGGTATATTCACTGCTGATTTCCTGGTGCATGGAACAGCATTTAGAACAGTGCATGGAACAGCATTTAGGCAGTGTGTGGAGGAACATGTAGAACAGTGCATGCAACAGCATATAGCAGTGATGGCGAACCTATGACACGTGTGTCAGAGGTGACACGCGAACTCATTTTTTTGGTTGATTTTTCTTTGTTAAATGGCATTTAAATATATAAAATAAATATCAAAAATATAAGTCTTTGTTTTACTATGGTTGCAAATATCAAAACATTTCTATATGTGACACGGACCAGATTTAAGTTAGGGTTTTTCAAAATGCTGACACGCCGAGCTCAAAAGGTTCGCCATCACTGGCATATAGGCAGTGTGTGGAGGAGCATGTAGAACAGTGCATGAACAGTGTATGCCCGGTGTGTGGAACAGCATTTAGAACAGTGTGGAATAGCACATGGACTCTCTCTAAGAAGGTGTGGTCTAAGCAGTTGTAACCAACAGGTGCTCAAAGCTCCCCAGGGCCCTATAGTTCCCTATATCACACCATGATTTGTAGAGTGAGGAAGGGAGAAGGTAGCCAAAGTGTAAGTTTAAACACAAGTCACACAGGTTGGAAGTGGCCTGTGGACTAGGTTACAAAATCACAGAATGTAATTCAAATGCCTGGAGACTGGCATAGGCCCCGTGCGTGGTCTGAAAGGGTTAAGCTGCACACGCCAGCTTTTCCTGGGTTGGCGGTCATATCGGTTGATGCCATGCCTTTTCTCGCCCTGTAAGGAAGGAAGAAGTTATGTGTCTCTGTGGAGTTAGCATAACAGTAAGCGTGCCCATGGTACATATGATTGTCCATTGCCAAGAACAAGTTAAATGGTGCTGTTAATTATTACTGCTTTTTAAAGCAGGAATTCTAGAGCTGCGAGTCTCTAACTGGCCGGGAGCCCCTGGGAATCTGTAGAAGGTGCCATTGCGCCCCTGCTGAGAGGGGCTGGTCTAATAGGGGTGACTTTATCTGGATGGCGTGTTCTACCTTCTGGTAAAGTTTCTGCAAAGAACGGTTCTGACCCTCAGAATGATTGAAGGACTCCCCTTAAGAGTGAGTCGAGAGCCTGGAGTTGTGAAGACACCTAAATGTGTGGAAGGTTTGCCCTTTCCCCACCTGCCCCATCATTTCAGGGCCTGTTTGCTTTAGAAAAAGAGCGGCTGCCTCCGGAACTCTCTCTGATCATAAGCCGCCTTTTTCTAACTCCAAATGTCACCTCTGTCTCGCAGGATCTTCTTCAGATTCGATCGTATATCTACGCGGAAGAGCCGAGCATTGACATCCACAATTTTGTGGGAACATTTACCAGGGTACGTAGCTCAGCTTGCCACGGACTCCCGTCTTAGAGTTTGGATTCACGATGGGAGCCTGCAGACACGCATCTGAGGGTCTTTGTCAGGAAGTATCTAGGGGCCACACAACTGCAGGTTCTTCAGCCTCTGAACAGCTGGGATTGCCTGACAGTTTAGCCACGTGTTGTTCTAATTCATGTTAACGCTGATGCTCAAAGTTACTCTGTCTCCCTCTGACGGGAGACACATCCTCTATTGTTTAGATAAGCCCTGCCTGCCATTGTTATACTTTTTTTTAAATCCTCACCCAAAGATATGTTTATTTATTTTTTTAATTTTGGAGAGAGAGAGGAAGGTAGAGCGACAAATCTCAATGTGAGAGAGAAACATCGATTGGTTGCCTCCCATAGGCACCCAGACTGGGAAGTGAACGCCCACCACCTTGTGGTGTATGGGATGATGCTCCAGCTGACTGAGCCACCTGGCCAGGACCACTGTTGTTTACATATATTTGATTAATCCTCCCCCAAGGATATTTTCCTATTGATTTTTAGAGAGAGTGGAAGGGACGGGGAGAGACAGAGAGATAGAAACATCGATGTGAGAGACAGACATTGATTGGTTACATGCGCCTCCCCCCCACTACCACCGTAGGCACCCTGACTGGGGCTGGGGATCAAGCATGCAACTGAGGTACGTGCCTTTGTCTGGATTTGAACCCGGAACCCTCCAGTCTGAGGGGTTCTATCCACTGACGCTCTATCAACTGAGCAAAACTGGCCAGGGCAGTTACACTTAAAAAAAAAAAGTTTTTATTGATTTCAGAGAAGGAAGGGAGAAGGAGAGAGAGAGAGAAACATCAATGATGCGAGGGAATCATTGATTGGCTGCCTCCTGCACACCCCGCACTGGGGATCGGGCCGAAACCTGAGCACGTGCCCTGACCGGGAATCATAGGTTGATGACACACTGGCCGGGCTGGGCAGTTATACTTTTTAAGTCACTTCTCAACTCTTCGGAATAGAAATTAAATTTGGATTTAAGTTACTTAAGGAATCTGGGACAGGAGGGTTATAGACCCCAAATTAAACTGTTCGTGTTGTTTTTCTATGAGCCACACGACTGCCCTGTTTGATTGTTAGCTCTCACCTTGAAAACACTCGGTCCGTGTTCCAGGCTTGTCCTCAAGTCAGGAGCCAGCCTTTCCAGGTATTTCCATGGGGGTGGACGCCCCACGGACAGTAGTCGATGAGTGTGGCCCCTCTCTCCTGGCTGAGCTGTGGGCTTCTCACCAGGGGTCGCCCGTCTCTACCTGTCTTGTGGGTTTTTTTAAAACCTCGCTCCATAGCCCTGGCTGGTATTTCTCAGTGGTTAGAGCATTGGCCTGCACTCCCAAGGGTTGTGGGTTCGATTCACGGTCAAGGGCATGTACCTGGGTTGCAGATTTGATCCCCACCCCCTGTTGGAGCACTTGCCGGAGGCAACCAATCAACGTGTCTCTCTCATATAGATATTTCTCTCTCACTCTCTTTCTCTCTCCCTCTCCCTACCTCTCTTTTACTCTCTAAAAATCAATGTAAAAAAATATCCTCGAGTGAGGATTAACAAGAACCCCCATGAAAACCAACAACAAGAAGCCTCGCTGATAAGTGTGTGTCTGTCTGGCCTCTTGCAGGAGGACAGCGACCCTTCGATCAGCGAGAGCCTGAGCATCGAGAACGCGCTCTGGGCGGGCACCGTCATCGCCTCAGGTGAGGCGCCCTGCCCTCTCCCAGGAATGTGGTAGCAATTTGAAGAGGGAAGAAAATCCTCCTGAGTAATTAGAATAATCATCTGTCAGTTGGGAAAATTAGTCCTCGGTCAAATGGTGTTTTCCACTTGTCCCAGCACCTCCAGGGGATTCTGCTGGCATCTAATTGCCCCTCAGACACTTAGAGCAGAGAAGCCGCTCTGGCCTGCGGACTCTCTGCAGCGCCCACTCCGCGAATAGCCCTTAATTGCCGCTGCAGATGGACGTTCTAATCTGTCCCAGAGGTTGGCTCAGCCTGCACGTTCGGCTGCAGGTCGTGTCTGTGAGGCTGCTGGTCCTGTGGGTCAGGGGCTCCGTGCACAGGAAAGGGCGGAGCCTTGATATTGAAAACTCCAAGGTGACGCAGAAATCTGTGCCTTTCAGTTTTGAGCATGGGGTGCAACTGAACAGAAGGGGTCCCAGGGGTTGAGCATGGCCTGCAGCAGCCCTGTTGATATCTGTGGGGTCCCGCCCGTCTCTCATGCAGTATGACGAGCCCTTCACACATTTCACTTGACCCTCCCAAAGGTGCCACGAAGGTAGGTGCTAGTGTTGTCCCCATTCTGCAGATGAGGAAACAGGCTCTGTGGGGTTAAGTAACTTGCCCAAGGTCACACAGCAGGGAAAAGGTGAGTTGGGACTTGAACCCAGGCACTTTGCTTGAGAAGCAGAACTCATTGTACCAGCCGCTGTTAGTATGTAGTATATAATAATTTATACTAATAACACGTAATTCTGCTGCTGGCAACTTTCTGTCTTTATTATTGGAGGAATCCATTTCTTTCCCCTCTTCAAGAGTGATAGCTACCTCCTATCAACCCGTTTTCCTCTGCTTGTTGGTTCTCTGTGGCTCATAGGAGAGCAGACGCTCAATCCAGATACTCTATGACAAGCATGTCAAACTCAAAGGCTAACACGGGCCAAATAAATGAGGTGTGCGGCCCGTGGGCCGTGAGTTTGACATGCTTGCTCTGTGACAAAGGAAGGGAGGGACTGGCACAAGTGAGAGCCCAGGCCGCCTGGTGTCTCTGCCCACAGAGATGAGCTGTGTCCCTGGGGTTCTTGCCAGGTTTCTTCTCTCCTGGCTGTGTGGATTGGCAGCATCATCTGGTTGTCTCTCAGTTACCCTGATGACTAAAGGAGTGAGAAATTGGTCCTTACAATTCTGCACAGCCACTGCCTGGCCACCCCTTGGCTTCTAATAACCTCAATGTGTTTAATTCTGCACTTGATTTGATAATATTAATATTTCAGTGATAAGTACCTGTGCCAGTGTCTGTTTGGTTTTCATTCTGGTGATTATCTCTCCTTCCTTCCTGCTTTCCTTCTTCCTGTGAAGCAAACCTTGATTGAACATCTATATTCAATCATGCCACGCTCCATTGCTAGGTCCTGGTGCTGCTTGGCGTGCCAGGAAACCCTGGTCTCCACTCTCCTGGGATTTACAGTTTAATGTAAGTTAAAGAGGAGAGGGGAGGAAACAGGAGAGAGAGAGTTCTAGAAATTTCCTCTGAAACCACTAAAAAGGAAAATGGTTTAGGTGAAGATGCATCGAATTCTGAGGTGGAGGGCGTGAGGTTGTAAAAGTCTTGTTGTCAACTTTAATCTCAGAGGTTAACAATAGTCTTATTTACCAGGCACTTTTTATTTACACAGTGCTTTGCTGCCATTCTCTTGTTTTGGTTTCATGTCATAAAAACGAGGACATTTAATGGAATACAGAATGGAGACTCAGAGAGGTTAAGCAACGTGCCTAAGGTCACACAGCTTTGGAGCGGTCATCTCTTGGGAGGAGGAGAGTGGAAGGCGAATTGGGATCTTGAAGATGGGGAAGAGATTTCACAGCAGTTCATGGGAAATGCATTGTGGAGTCGGTACATGCATTTTTTTCGGTTGTTTGAATTAATGTCTTTGTGCTTGGTGATGTTCGAAGAGAGAGCAGGGTTCCAGGGCTCCAGTGGCATTGCCTGCCATCCCCTTTAGCAGGTGTATGCTTTGGAGTGAGTCAGGAGCTGGGCACCCAGCATGTCTGCAGCTGGCCTCAGTTTCCCTGACTTCTCACTGCATCTGATTCTAATGCAAACACGGAGTGAAACACAAGCTGTTTCCTTCTGGTGCTCAACTCAAGCAACGGCCACCAAGAGGAATCTTACCCGCATGACATGTGGCCTCTGTGTTCCCTTTAGGATCTAACTCCTGTGTCGTGGTCACTCCGCTCTTATTAGTTGGAAGTTTAAAAAATAACAAAGCTTCCCCTGGTTGGTGTGGCTCAGTTGGCTGGGCATCATCCTGTGCAGGGAAAGGTTGCCGATTCAACTCACCGTCAGGGCACATGCCTGGGCTGCGACTCGATCCCCAATAGGGGGCGTGCAGGAGGCGGCTGATCAATGTTCGCTCTCATATTGAGGTTTCTCTCTCTCCCTCTCCCTCTCCATCCTTCCCTCTCTCTCTCTCTCTTTTCTTTAAAAGATGTTTTTATTGATTTCAGAGAGAGAAAGGGAGAGGGAGAGAGAGAAATAGAGCCCACAATCCCGGCACGTGCCCTAACCAGGAATTAAACCATGACCTCCTGGTTGAAACGCAACCACCGAGCCACACTGTCTGGGCTTCCCCTTTCTCTTAAAAAAAAAAAATAAAAATAAAGCTTGCTAGGGTAGGTGCTGGGGGTCCAGCATCGATGCAGTTGCCATGGTAACTCAACACAGTGCTGCTGGGTGAGGAGTCACCAGGCGGTAAGAGGGAAGGGTAGGGGGGGGGCTTGGCAGAGAAGGTGGCCTGCATGTGGCAGAGCCCAGGTGTTCTAGTTCAGTTCTTCCAGGACTCAGTGGTGAGGGACCAGTTTGTTGGTCTCCCCCAACCCCCCCCCCCAAATCTGTAGCAGATGGGTCAGTGTCCTGCTGGGTGTGACCAGTGGGCAGGTCACGCCATGTGCACCTCGCCACACGAGTTTGATAACGTCCCCTGTTCGGCGGGGCTTGTCCTGTGACCGCACGCTCGGCGTCACAGGGTGCCTAATTGCCGTAAACATTTCTGAACGCTGGCTCTCTGGGGCTCAGCATTTATCTTGTTGCTGACAGAAAACAAAGGGGTCGCAGTGAGGTCTGACCTGGGACCACACTGCTGTGCGGGGTTAGGAAGAACTTCATGAAATGCTGACCATGGCAGCCTGGCTCCTTGGAGAAAGCGGCTGGGGCCAGCTGGCAGGATGGAGAGGATTTGTGGTCTGCGGGCTGCAGAGGGTGAGGGACAGCAGAGGGGACAGCGTGGGAGGCGGGGTTCGAGGCCTGGGTCGCATGAGGAACGTGGACCCAGCGTCACCAGATCTTCCAGTTTTCCAGGAGAAGCCAGAAGTCTCCATTGTTAAGTGAAAGCTCCCATCATGAAAAGTTGCCAGCGAATTCAACACCTTAAAGCGCTTTGCAGACCAAACCAGCGCCCCGCTGCGGCCGGCGTGTGCGCTCTGTCTGGGCGGTGAGGCCGGTTCGGATCTGTTGGTGACCGTTTTGGTCTTGAGCACAGGGAGATATTGGGGGGAAGGCCATTTCAGCAGCATCAGGCACTGAGGTTGGCTGGTGCCCGTGGGGGACCCTTCCTTGGGGAGCCCCTGATATGAACACGGGTTATAGGAGAGGCGGAGGAAACAGAATTCTGTGCATTTCCTGTGAAACCTCATGCACCTGGACTTTGGACATCGAGGCCAGCGTGGAGCGAGTGAGCTCAGCCCAGGCTCGGCTCCCGCTGCCCACCATCTGCTGTGGCCACACCTGTGTGCCCGGGAGCCTGCCACCTGCTGGGAGCGGCCAGCGAGCTCCCCAGCCTGCCATCTGCTGGCAGCCTCTCTGCCAGGAACCACCTCGTGCAGAACACTGTGCGCTAAACTGGAGGGACTTCCGTGCCTCCTCCCCGGACTCTTTGTCCAGGAGACACGGCCCCGCACTGCATCTGGGTCAGCTCTTTCCCTGAGGCTGTGCTTGAGTCTCTGAGTTTTTGTACATTCCTCCGCCAGTATTTTTCCGAGGAGAGAAGGTTAGGTGTTTGCTTTTTCCAGTGGAGAGAATCACTGACTGGCTGCCTCCTGCACACCCCTTACTGGGGATCGAGCCTGCAACCCAGGCATATGCCCTGACTGGGAATTGAACCAAGACCTCCTGGTTCATAGGTGTGCACTCAGCCACTGAGCCACGCAGGCAGGGTCTTCACCACCGTATTGTCTGTGCATATATACATATAAGATCTTTGTTTAATCTCTTTCCAACCCCTGAACCCCTTCCCTCTGAGAATCTTCAATCTGTTCCATTCCCAGGCCTCTGATTCTACTTTATTCACCAGTTTATTCTGTTCTTTAGATTTCTTATTCGTTTATTTTGATTTTTAGATTTAATTTTTGATAGATATGTCTTTGTTGCCGCTTTATTGTTCATATTTTTGTTCTTTTGCTTCTTCTTCTTCCTCTTCTTAAATAATACCCTTCAATATTTGATTTAATACTGGTTTGGTGGTGATGAACTCCTTTAACTTTTTCTTGTCTGTGAAGCTCTTTATCTGACCTTCAATACTAAATGATAGCTTTGCTGGGTAGAGTAATCTTGGTTGTAGGTCCTTGCTATTCATCACTTTGAATATTTCTTGCCACTCCCTTCTGGCCTGCATAGTTTCTGTTGAGAAATCAGCTGATAGTCATATGGGTACTCCCTTGTAGGTAACTGACTGTTTTTCTCTTGCTGCTTTTAAGATTCTCTCTTTGTCTTTAGCCCTTGGCATTTTAATTATGATGTGTCTTGGTGTGTTCCGCTTTGGGTTCTTCTTGTTTGGGACTCTCTGTGCTTCCTGGACTTGTAAGTCTATTTCTTTCACCCGATAGGGGAAGTTTTCTGTCATTATTTCTTCAAACAGGTTTTCAAATTCTTGCTCTCTCTCTCTTCTCCTTCTGGTAACTCCATGATTGAAATGTTGGTTTGCTTGAAGTTGTCCCAGAGGCTCCTTATACTATCTCATATTTTAGAATTCTTTTTTCTTTTTGCTCTTCTGATTGGGTGTTTTTTGCTTCCTCATATTTCAAATCGTTGTTTTGATTCTCAGAATCCTCTACTCTACTGTTGAATCCCTGTAAGTTATTCTTTATTTCAGTTAGTGTATGCTTAATTTCTGACTGGTCCTTGTCCATGTTTTTGGCATTCTTACCAAGATCTTTGAAAGTCTCACTAAGTCCCTTGAAGATCCTTGAGTAACCTTGTAACTATGGTTTTGAACTCTGTATCCAGTAGTTCACTTTTTTCCATTTGTGACATGTTTCTTTGTCTCCGAAATTTGGCTGCTTCCCTGTGTTTGTTTCTATGTATTGGGTAACTGCTATGTCTCCTGGAGTGGGTAGGGTGGCCTTGTGTAGTAGGTGTCCTATAGGGCCCAGTGGCTCAGCCTCCCCAGTCACCTGAGCTGGGCACTCTAGGTGTGTCCCTTTGTGGGCTTTGTGCACAGCCTTGTTGTAGTTGAGCCTTGATTGCTGTTGGTGTCACTGGGAGGAATTGACCTCCAAGGCCTATTGGCTGTGAAAACCAGCTGCGACTGTAGTGGGAGAGCTGCTGTGCGGGAACACCCCTATGGAGCTGGACTTGTTTCAGTAGGGCTGTGGTGTTCACTGAGTCTGCCTCTTGAGTGTGTTGCTTGTGGATGTGTAGTGTTGTAATCTGGTATGGTCTGAAGCTGTCCACTGGGTGCACTGGCTCTTGGGTCTCCAGGGAGGTGCAAAGTTAGCCACTGCCTGCGCCACCATTTTGGTTCCCCTGCCTATTTGATTTCATTTTAATTGAATTTAAATTGCTGCCCGTGGCTATCAGCTTCTATGCTGGTCAGTGTGGCCATGGGTCGTTGGCTGGCCCCGACGTGAACACACTGACACTCTCCCCGTGTGGGTGTGGGATTTAGAAGACGTCCTCGCAGGCAGCCCAGGCTCTGGTGTTTGTAAGCCCGTCTGTCCGCACTAACAGTTCTTTGTGTCGTGTTTTTCTGTTCTAGGAACTGTTGTGGGTGTTGTTCTTTACACGGGCAGAGAACTCCGGAGTGTCATGAATACCTCAAATCCTCGAAGTAAGGTGTGTGCAGTCACGAGAAGCGTCTCCTTGTCAGACCTTTCGACCTGATGGACTTTGATGATTGGTGTTGGGGGTGAGGAGCTAGAGTTAAAAGCTGGAACTCCTGACAGTATTATCTCATTTATACAAACCTACTATCTTTTCATATATATATACTAGAGGCCCATTGCACGAAGAGATTCGTGCAATAGGCCTTCCTTCCCCTGGCTGCTGGCACCGCTTTTCCTCTGGCACCCGGGCCCCAGGCCTTCGCTTAGGCCACAGCGGAGAAGCCAAGCCTCTTCAGTCTTCAGTCTTCGCTTGGGAGGAGCCTTCAGGCTCCGCGCCTGCATGTGCAAATTAACCACCATCTTTGTTGGGTTAATTTGCATACTCATCCTGATTGGCTGGTGGGCATAGTGGAGTGGCACCAATTTGCATGTTTCTCTTTTATTAGTGTAGATCTGTAGGTATATATACATATATGTAGATATGCATACATATAATACATAAGTAGCTATTCATATATATACAAATACATAAAATTAAACACCTATTTTTTAAATTAAAAAAATTTTTTTATGACCAGAACATTTTAAAATTCCCCTTCTTTTTTTGTTGTTAATCCTCACCTGAGGATATTTTTTCCCATTCATTTTTAGAGAGTGGAAGGGAGGGAGGAGGAGAGAGAGAAATATCAATGTGAGAGAGACACATGATTGATTGCCTCCCGCATGCACCCTGACCTAGAGCTGAGGAACGAACCTGCAACCCAGGTACATGCCCTTGACTGGGAATCCTACCAGAGACGCTTCAACGTGTGAGCTGACGCTCTACCACTGAGCCACACCGGACAGGGTGTATTCCCATTTTTTAATACATTGCATTTTAAAACCTTTTAAGTTAAAGCAAACTGTTGTTTGCTTTGTTATGCGGTGTCCTTCACACGCATCTCATCTCATCTCACCCTTACGCCCGCCTCTGAGCAGGTCTTCCCTGGCCTCCCCTCCTGGAGGGGAAGTGGCCTCGCACCTGCCACGCTGTGCCCGTGTGTGCTGTGCCCCGGGGGCAGGTCTGTCAAACTCCGCTGATGGCAGACAGGTCCGATCTGCTGTCTGCTCTGTTCGTGCTCATTTCACTCCGTGACCCTCCCTCCCAGCCCCACCCCTCCTCCAGTCTTTAAGTTAGAATGTTGCAGAATGATTTCCTTTGTCAATTCCACGAACAATTGCTGTTTCCCAAACTCCAGTCATTTTCACCCCACCACTACAACTAGAAATGACATTTATTTGATGTTTTTGTCTCCTCTTAGGGCATATTTCAGTGAAGTTATGGGTCTGTTTTGCTAGTTACATTGAAAAAATACACTGAAATAAATATGTAATTATTAAACAAACAATGTTAATTAATGCAGCACCTGAAAATCAGGTGCCACCAGAGGTGTGTGCCCCAAACTTGCAGGCACATCTGACTCAGTGTGTGGGACGATGTTGGGAGTGTGGACTGTCATTTTACAGGTCGCTGTGTAGGATGGTGGAGACCATGCAGTGTGCAGCCCCACCAAGCGCAGCAATAACCTGCGTATGTGTTTCCAAGTCTGAATCTTAAGTCTGAAAAACCCTGAAAGCAGAATTCTCCGAGGTCCCTGAGATGCCTGTTCTGGACTGCAGCCCAGGGCGCCCAGTGCTCTCAGCCAAAGCCGTGGGTGCGGAAGGGTCCCAGTGTCCCCCCTGGGTGCAGGGGTTCATGGCTGTGGGTTGCACCAGCTGATCCTGAGCCCCCCTTTGTGCCTTGTCCCCAGATTGGCCTGTTTGACCTGGAAGTGAATTGTCTCACGAAGATCCTCTTTGGTGCTCTGGTGGTGGTGTCACTGGTCATGGTGGCCCTTCAGCACTTCGCTGGACGCTGGTACCTGCAGATCATCCGCTTCCTCCTCCTGTTTTCCAACATCATTCCCATCAGGTGAGCAGAGAATGAGCTTGCATCTGGGTGCCGTGATATTTCTTCTCTTTACCAGCTGGGCCCTTGGCTGAGTGATGACCAGGAACAGTCAGGATCCTCCGGAGTGTGAGCCCTGGTTTGTGGAGGTAGCATTGGAAGGGTGCATGCCTCCAGGACCCATCCTTTTTTTTTTTTTCCATTTTTTAAAAATAGGTTTTTATTGATTTTAGAGAGAGAGGAAGTTGGGGGAGAGAAATATCAATGTGAGAGAAACATCAATCTGCTGTCTCTTGAACGCCCCCTACTGGGGAACGAACCCACAGCCTGGGCATGCGCTGTGACAGGGAATCGAACAGGTGACCTCTTGGTGGACGGGATGATGCTCAAGCAACTGAGCCACACCAGCCAGAGCTGATCCATCCTTTCTTAAGGGACTTTCTGCTCAAAAGATCTTGCCTTGCCCAGTCTATGATAGGGAAGGCAGTTAGAGCTCATCTCATCTGCCAGTTCCAAGGGTTGGTAGTGTCTGTGTGGAGAAGGATTCTGAGCCTGAGTCTGGGCTCAGCAGGAGATATTTTGAGATTGATTAGCAATGGAAGCTGGATGGCACATGCCAATTGTCTGCTTTCCTCATTTGGAGCCTGAATAAATGGTTTAAAAGTGATATCAGTAATAAGTTATCATAGTAGGAAAAAAATAAAGATTCACAGTAGCAAAAGATTAAAATAAAAGTCACTTCTAATCTCACAACTGAATGGTAATTGCTGTTAATATTTTGGGATGTATCTTTTTATAGACTGCTTCCTATTTTAGGAAAAAGAGACTCTGCTCTACACAAAGTCTGTCCCCCCCCTTTTTAACAGCAGTGCGTTGCAAGTAACTTCTCACATCAAATATACTTGGAAACCCATCATTTTTTAGAACTGCCCTAGTAGATATTCTGGGTTTAACAATTTACTCTGTTGCCCTATTATTGGGTATTTGTTTCTACTTTTTCCATAGTAAATGATCAGTAAATAATAATAGTTTTTTATTGATTGATTTGAGAGAGAGAGAAAGAGAGAGAGAGAGAGAAAGGAAGAGAGAGAGAAACATTGATTTGTTATTCCACTTGTTTATGCATTAGTTGGTTGATTCTTCTTTTTGTTGTTTTGTTAATCCTCAGGATATTTGGATATTTTTTCCATTGATTTTTAGAGAGTGGAAGGGAGTGAAGGAGGGAGGAATGGAGGAAGAGAGAGAAAGAAAGAAGCATCAATGTGAGAGAGACACATTGATTGGTTGTCTCCCACATCCTCCCTGACCAGGGCTGGGGATTGAACCTGCAACCCAGTTATGTGCCTGTGCCCTTAACCAGGAATCAAACCCGAGACCCTTCGGTGCATGGGCTGACGCTCTAACCAATGAGCTACACTGGCCAGGGCTCATTGGTTGATTCTTCTTTTTTTAAATTCTTTATTGTTTAAAGTATTACATACAGTATTGCATATTTCTCCTTTTTCCCCGTTGACCTCTCTCCGGCCACCCCCACCCCCTAGCACATGCCCTCACACCCCTAATGTCTGTGTTCATTGGTTATGCTTATATGCAAGCATACAAGTCCTTTAGTTGATCTCTTCCCCCCCACCCACAGACACCCTCCCCTACTTTCCCTCTGAAGTTTGACTGTCTGTTCGATGCTTCTCTGTCTCTGAATCTATTTTTGTTCATCAGTTTATGTTGTTCATTATATTCCACAAATGAGTGAGATCATGTGATATTTATCTTTCTCCGACTGGCTTATTTTGCTTAGCATAATGCTCTCCATGTCCATCCATGCTGTTGCTAATGTTAAGAGTTCTTTCTTTTTTACAGCAGCATAGTATTCCATCGTGTAGATGTACCCCAGTGGTTGATTCTTGTATGTGCCCTGACTGAGGATCGAACCCGTAACCTTGGCGTATTGGGATGACGCTCTAACCAACTGAGCTACCCTGCCAGGGCAATCAGTAGATAATTATTAAAGTAAGCCATATCTTTTAGTGCTTCTCATCTCTATTTTACACTTGATATATTGTCTTTCCTTTTGCATAATTATATCATCCTAGCTAGAATTTGTCTTTTTCTGAGGACAAATTTGTAGTTGTGATACAACAGCGTGACCAGTACAGGGGGATCGAACCCCTCACCAAGGTGCTCTGGGTAATGTCTTCCAAGAATAACAAGTCTACCTTGTTTCCAGCAAAAAAGTGTTTGTGGTGTAATGTTAAGTAAAATTGTGGTCTTTAAAGTTCTATCTACAACATGATTGAAAATTACTGAATTGAATCTTCATACGGTCCAGGTGTAGCCAGTAAAATAGTGAGCAGTTTGGTTAGTTTAAAGGACTATGAGTGAATTTGAAGATTTTAAAAAATTTTTCTTTTGCAATAAAATATTTTAAAGTGAGTAGAATACACACAATGGAATATTATTTAGCCTTAAAAAGCAAGGAAATTCTGACCTGCTGCAACATAGATGAACCCTGAAGATGTGCTGCGTGAAATAAGCTAGTCACAGAAGGAAAAATACTGTATGATTCCCTTCATGTGAGGTGCCCAGAAAGAAAGTCCTAGAAACAGAAAGTAGAATGGTGGTTTCCAGGGGGAAGGGGCAGTGGGGGATTATTGCTTAATGGGTGGGAATTTCAGTTTGGGAAGATGAAAAAGTGGTGGGCATGGATGGTGCTGGTGCTGGTGCTGGTGCTGGTGCTGGTGTTAGTGCTGCACAACAGTGTGAAAGTGTTCAATGCCACAGAACTGTCCACTTAAACTGGTTTAAACGTTGTGTATATTTTACCACAATTTTAATAAATGACTAGAGTATCAAAAGTCTGTTAGTTCAGAGGACCAGTAATTAAAAAAAAAAAAAAGTAAGACTAAAACAACTACCCTTTCGGTATTTTAAGTGACCTTGGTCCATGATAGAATAGCTTCATGTAATCTGATGGTGGTGTTGACTCCTGTTGTATCTGGGGATTGAGCCCCCGCAGTGGCTTCTGTGGGGAGTGACTCCAGATGTTGTGGCACAAATGGTGAGTAGTCGGAGTCCTTGCTGTTTACAAAAGAGACACAGGGCCTTGCGTGCATCCTGTTAACGTCGGCTCTGTTTTCCTGGCCAGTTTGCGTGTGAACCTGGACATGGGCAAGATCGTGTACAGCTGGGTGATACGAAGGGATTCAAAAATCCCGGGCACGGTGGTTCGCTCCAGCACGATCCCTGAGCAGCTGGGGAGGATCTCTTACCTGCTCACGGACAAGACAGGTGAGCTTCCTGCCCAGGGTGCAGGCGAGAGCGGTGCCCGGAGCCTCCTGCTGCTCTTGATTTCCTTCATCTTTTGATGAAGACTGAGTATTTGTGATGGGATGATGATAATAGCAGCAGAGCTCTACCTATACTTCTTAAGTTTTGGACGTTTACATGTTTATATGTAGTTAGTTATTCCTCATCCTAACCTTGTATTTTTGCAGGTGAACGAATGAAACCCAAGTTAAGTGACTTGTCAGAGCACATGGGGGCAGAAGTAGGCTTTGAGCCCAGGCAGTCTGACTTTGAGTCCTGACCTCGTAACCACACCCCAGATTCCTGCTCTGCTGTTCAATGTCCTAGTGGTGAAGAGCGAGGGCTGGGAGAGGGGAGATGTGGGTTTAAGCTTCCTCTCCACCTCTTAGTGCCCACGGGATGAAAGGGAATCTGTTGCAGAGGTCGGAGTGGCTCACTCCATCAGAGAAACTGGGTTTTGGGGAGGAGAGGAGCCGGGGAAGTCCCGGAGGTGTCAGCATCAGGACCCCTGGGTCGTCTCTGTAGGGTCTGCCACTGGGGTGGCCGGACTCCACTCATCTTCCGCCCACGCCTCTGTCTGCTGACGGTTTAGGCTCCTTCAGAATAGAATCTGATTGGACTGGTGTAAGTCATGTGCCACCCTCTTGGCCAGTGAAGTGAGACAGGCACCCTGATTGGCACTCCCTGTGGACCATCCCAGGAAACGAGGGGGGTGGTTTCCCCATGGAAACCTTGGATGCCATTTTCAAAAGAAAGGGAGTTGGATTCCAGGCCAGCAAAACAGCACAGCAAAAGCAGGGGCAGAGCTAAAACCAGTGTATGACGTGTAGTAAACACTCAAAAATAGCAGCTGTCATTACTGCTCGGACTGATAAAAGCTCTCGTTTGCCTGCGTTTCAGGAACTCTTACCCAGAATGAGATGGTTTTCAAGCGGCTCCATCTGGGCACAGTGGCCTACGGCCTCGACTCCATGGACGAAGTGCAGAGCCACATCTTCAGCATCTACACCCAGGTAACGCTTTCCCTTTCCTTCTTTTTAAAAAAATATATTTTTTATTTATTTCAGAGAGGAAGGGAGAGGGAGAGAGAGATAGAAACATCAATGATGAGAGAAAATCATTGGTCGGCTGCCTCCTGCAGGCCCCCTCCTGGGGATTGAGCAGTAACCCAGGCATATGCCCTTGACCGGAATCGAACCCAGGACTCTCCAGTCCACAGGCCGACGGTCTATCCACTGAGCCAAACCAGTGTTGCTTTACCTTCCGATACCCCAATTGGTTCTTTACGTGGATGAACACCTATATTGAGATGTAACTCTTAATGCCGAGTGACTCACCCTGTCCTGTCCAGCTCCCTCTCGAGGACTGAGACTTCCGTCCGGAGGGTTCACTGTGTGGATTGTCATGCTTGCTGGTGCCGGGCTGAGCACCCCTCGGCCCCTTCTTAGCCATGCGGGCCTGCCGATGACTGTATGAGCCAGCCTCATGGTCGTGGTGTGACCCCTGGCCCGTTTTGGGTACTTTAAGAGCCCGTGGAACTTACAGAAGCCATGCCTTCTCAGTTATTTGTGCAGTTCAGCTTTTATGGTCCGTTTTTGGTTTAGTACAGATAACACTCTTTGTAAAGTGTTAAAAGTCAGAAAAGAACATTTCTGACCTTGCACTTTAACTCCTAACCCTTCCTTAGGAGAAGCTCAAAAATGGATTTGTCCATATCCTGGCCTTGGGTTTAAAATAGCTAAGTGTTGAAGGGTTAGGTCATCTCGAGGTTGGTGTGCGCTCAGAATTATAGTACCCGCCCCCAACACCCAACCAATGTGCATGTTCGTCCTTCTCTCATGACATCTAAAAATCCTGCAGTAAACGCATGAATACTTTTGTGGTGAGAGGTATGAAGGCTTTCCCGTGTTTTCTTTTTCACAGCTTTATTGAGGCATACCTTGCATGCCATAAAACTCAGCTCTATGTTAATTTGCAATATGATTCTTTTTTAGTCAGTTACTGAGTTATGGACCCATGAGCACCCGAGAAAGATTCCCTGGAGCCCATGCCATCATTTGCCTGACCTTTAGAGTTATGACTAGGACTTTATAACAGTGTTTTGTAAAGCACGGTATTTGGAACGCCGGGGTCAGATCACGTGGGACAGTCAGAATCTCTAGACCCAGGCTCAGCAGGTGGACCAGGTGGTTCCAAAGTGCAGCAGTTTGAGAACCTGTGCCATGAACCTCTTGCATTCTTTAGGTGTGGGGGGCCCAAACATCGCTATTTCTTAAAATTATTAAAGTGTTTACTGGTTATTTTGAGAAGCATTTCTGGTTAAGAACCACTGTTAGAATAACACTACCCAACTTCCTGTTTTCACTCCTGCCAGTGAGTCTCATATTTTAATGGTTTTACAATAGGGCCAGGACAACGAGGGTAAGAAGAGTGGGGTATGCACCTTGAGAGCAAAGCTTAATGGGATGAACCCCCCTCCCCCCCTCAAGCCTCAGTAATCAAAATTCATGGGAAAATCCAGGATGAACAGTACTGACATTTTAAATGGACGGGACCCCGCCTGTGCAGTTAGGTGTCTGCCACTCCCTGGCCCTGGCTTCCTAGTGTCGATGGCCTAATTTGGTTTTCAGCCGCGGGAATGCACATTGTGCTGGATTAAGGCTGTGTTGTGAGGGCCGTCCTGTGTTTCGTTCTAGGATTTTAGCAGCATCTCTGCCCTCTACCATCAGGTTGTCTATAGTACACGTTCCCTCCTCTGCCCCTGGTGGTGACAACCCCAATATCCCTAGAGATTGCCAGATGGTAGCCCAAAGCACCCCAGTTGAGAACCGCTGTGCTGTCTGGGGTTCGATGTCACGGAATTGAAATGTGCTGCCTTGGCCATGCTCTAAGATGTCTGCAGTTCAACAGTGAACGCTGTACTTACTCACTCACCATCAATCAGCCTGTAACTCCGTGGGTTCATTTGGAAGTAGCAGCCCCGAGCCTGCCTCTGTGGGGGTGCCCCTTGGAGGCTGATGCGTGACCAGCTTTGGGCTTTCCTTAGGGAGTGAAGTGGGACAATCGAAACAGGAGTTCCTTCTCCTCAATCATGTGATTTTACCTATTGCAGCCCATCCACACTGCCCGTTAACATTACGAACGTCCATGAGGTGGTGGTGAAGTTTTAATTGCATTTAGAAAGAACGCTTATGTCCACGGTGGCTCAGTATTTAATTTCTGTGCTGCTGTTTCCTGTCACACAAACTGGAGTTCTCGTTGGGAAAGGCCCCGCCGTGGGTCAGTAATGAGAAGCAGGGGCCTGTTTCTCACGGATCCTCATGTCTCATTGAGGGCGGGACGCTGTAGGGTGACTCGGAAGCATTGGATGGTGCGAGGACCCCACCCCAGGGCCCACGTCTGGGGCCTCTGCACATGGAGGTCTTGATTCCTCTCCCAACTCCTGACCTCACGGGAGCGGCGTTGGCCTCTCTCTCCCCTCCCTGAGAGGACCAGTGGTTCCCCCAGGGCAGCAAGACTGGGAACCTGCCTCTGTGTCCACATCTGTTTTGATTTTCCCCTGGTATTTTTTAAGTAAGAAGAAATGGGTGTAGGTTAAAGGGCCTGTGGGCAGGAGACTAGAGAGAAACACTGTACAATGTGAAACTCTTCCATATGGGGAATGTGAGGATGTTTGAAGACGGGGCCCAGTACTAACACTGGCAGAGCCCCCGGTAATTACCAGGGTCTAAGGATACACGTGGATCACCATTTGGTGTGCGAACGAGCCTTTTACTTGAAAATTAAGAGAATTTCAGAACCAGTGGTTTTGACCCCTCCTCCCCGAAGCACCGTAGTCGCAGGGAAGGGGATACGTGCTGATGTCAGAGAGAAATCAATGAGCGTGGAGACTTAAACCAACCGCCTGCTGGTGGGGGCCGGGCACCCTCATCTTCTGATTTGTTGTCAAATGGTCCCCTGTCCTGAAAGTGGGGTCCTTGCGGAGACCGGTGCTGCCAGGCTTGTCCACCATTGGGATGTCAGTGGGAGAATTTGTCTTCTGGGGGAGACATGAAACCAGGTTGCTTACAGAATCCTAAGGGTTGTGGCGGTCCTTCACGCGGCCTTTCCTTCTAACCCACTGTTGCTGAAACTTGCCAGCCGAAGCAATTGCTCTGTCAGAGGTCTTGCTCTTGCCCCTCGCGCTCAATCATAATTTGGTCCAGGTGCTGAGGAACGTGGGCAACCGCGAGGACATGCGTCCGTGCCTGGGACAGACATCAGAGAGCGCAGGGAACCGCGTTCCTGGCGGAGTCTGTCCCACGGAGAGCCGTTCTGTAAACCCACGGGCCTCGGTGTCATGTTGGAGTTAAAGTCTTTCTCGTCAAAAGCACTCGGCAAATAATGATTCATTTAAACTGCAGTTCTGATTCATTACTCTAATTATCGTTACCATGCAGTGCCCTCTGGCCTGGAAGTGAAACTCGTGTCCTCTTGACACCAGAGGTTAACAGAGCAGGAAGCCAGGGCGGTGTGCGCGCCTGCATGACAAGAATAATTTAGTAATTGTCTAATTACCCGAGGAGTCCAAAGCCGCTGCTAAAAATAGTATTAAAAAATTAAACGAAAGTCATTTTCTTGTTTCGTGTAGCCCATCTGTTCTCTATTTTGGGCATGTGTTCACAGGCACAAAACACATTTCACTCTCAGAGACCAGCTTGCTTCTCCTCTGTTGGGCAAAATATGTTTCTAATGGAATGTAGCTTCCAGTATGTCGGCCAGCATGTCAGGCTCCCGGACGCAGCAGTGGAGGCAGGAAGACTACGATAGGTCCGTTGTCCAAAACTGTGGTTTAAAATCTGGAACTGATGTGGGTCCATTTGACATTTATTTCTTCTTGGAGATGGAAAAAAAATTCATGTCCAGTCAGGACCCCCACCATCACCTTAGGAACAGTAAATCGTTCATTTGTTCAGCAAGCATCTCCTGCTTTAGATACTAGGGATGCAGCAGACAGCTGTCCTCATGGTCGGCCAGGAGAATCATCAGGTCAACAAGCCAGTTGTAGACAGTGAGGACGATAAGTCCCCGGGAAGCATGACTTACAGTGGGAGGGCAGGCGGGGTAATAGGATTTAGGGCAGCAGTCACCAATCGATGGTCCTCGGACCACTGGTAGTCTGTGAGGTCTGAAAGGTTGGCGACCCCCCGGGAAGCATGACTTCCAGTGGGAGGGCAGGCGGGGTAATAGGATTTAGGTCAGTGGTCCGTCGCCAACCAGTGGTCCGCAGACCACTGGTGGTCCATGAGGTCTGAAAGGTTGGCGACCGCTGAGTTAGGGGGCTCAGAGAAGCCCTCGTTGAGGAGGTAACATTTGAACTTAGACCTCCATGATGAGATGGAGTGAGCTGGCCCTGCAGAGATCCAGGAAATGGTATTCTAGGCAGAGGGTACAGCAAGTGCACAGGCCCTGTGGCAGGAAGCAGCGTGGCAGTGTTCAAAGAACGGAAGAGGTCAGCGTGGCTGGAGCAGAGTAAATAGGAGGTTGCAGAGATGGGCAGGGGCTAATCAGATGGGCCCCGTGGGCCATGGGAGGGCATCTGAGACATAAACTGTTAACAAGTGATCATTGCCTGGTGGTCTTAATTTTTTAAATTACATTTCAAGGCAATAGAAACCCTTTTTCCAGGGAAGGTCTTCATGGCACCCGATGTGTAATTCAACAGATAGGAATGGGCTGCTTGCCTTGCACTTTGGGGATGCTGAGCGGGTGGCTTGGGATTCCTGCTACTCGGGTGTGGACCCCACTCCCCTACCCCACTCCCCTCATTTGCAGGAAGCTGAGGCCCAGAGGGCAGATGTGGCTGGCTTGAAGTCGCACAGTTTTTCACACCCCATCCAAGAATAAAGCTCAGGGTGGTTAACCTTTAATACTGTTTTTACCATGTTGCTTAAAGCCACTTTCCCCAAGACTTACCCCATGCAGGAGGCTCAGCCATGTGTCGAAAGGTCTGAACAAGAGGGTGGAATAGCTGCTTCCACAAGTGAAGGGTCTGAAGTCAGAGTAGAAAGCAACAATTGAGCACACATAAAATTAGTCTCTTTTTAAAGAACGTATTTATTTATTTATCTTTAAATTGCTCTTGGAAACCTACCTTAAGTGCAGTGCTAGGTACCAGGTGTTCAGTACACTCATCTAGGAGTGTCATTCCTGTTACTGGCCCAGGCCCTGCCCCGAGTTATGTGTCACTGATGGTCGTTACGCCTGTAGAGCACCAGTCGCCGTTGCTATCTTTTACGTGAACCCACGGAGTGTACATTAAAAACAGTGGTTCTGAACCAGGGACGGGCTTGGTCTCCCTGGGCCTTTGGCAGCATCCCTTGAGACCGCTAGGAGAGAGAGGTGCTTCTGGGATCTAGGAGGTGAGGCTGGAGGTGCAGCTGAACATCCCACAGGCACGGGATTGTCCCAACCACCGACAGCGTTTGCCCCGAATGCCAGCAGTGCCGTGGTGGAGAAGCCCTGGTCTGAGCACCAGGACCGCTGGCAGCATGGTGGGACCTCACTCTGTTGGAGGCTCCCCGACACCCCCAAAGGAAGACAGGTTCACACGTTAGCAGGCAGAATCACCCCCAGTCACTAGATTACTATTTTTCCTATTTATTTTGTGTGGTTTTTGTTGCTGTGCTGAGCGTCAATGACTGGATCCCTGAAAACCACACGCCATTTATTGCAGCGTCGCCATTGCTAGCCTGGGAGTCACCGTTAGCCCGCAGTAAGGAAAGCCGACTCCGAGAGGCTGTACTTCCACATGTTGGGGACCTTCTGTGCTCGTGGTCACCTTCCTTGTCATTCCCTCCTCACAGCAATCCCAGGACCCGCCTGCTCAGAAGGGCCCCACCATCACCACCAAAGTCCGGCGGACCATGAGCAGCCGCGTACATGAGGCCGTGAAGGCCATCGCGCTCTGCCACAACGTGACCCCCGTGTACGAGTCCAACGGCGTGACCGACCAGGCCGAGGCCGAGAAGCAGTATGAAGACTCGTGCCGTGTGTACCAGGCGTCCAGCCCGGACGAGGTAAACCCTGGGCAGGTGTGGCTCCCATGGATCCAGATATCAGGGCAGGCAGGAGCCAGGGAGGGGCAGGGCAGCGAGGCAGGTACCATATTTTTCCATGTATAAGACGCTATTTTTTCTAAAATCAGTAGACTGAAAATCGAGGGGCATCTTATACATGGAAGTCAGCCGAGGAGGGAGGCCCACGCGTGTGCGTAGCTGCCCGTATCTTGTCAAACAGGCTTCCTTCAATCACGAGCCTTATTGTTACTGATATCAGCTTATGGAGGTGGAGGTGGAGAGCGTGCAGATGCAGCAGGGACCTGAGCGTTCTGAGCCCATACAGATGTCAAAAAATAAAAAGATAAATACCGGTAAGCGATTGTCTGACTCTGCAAAATTCAAACCGAATGTAGTCAGCTATGCAAAGAGCATGGAAATAGAGCTGCAGAGAGACAATTTGGACCTCCTCCCACTGAGTGTATGATCAGACAGTGGAGAAAACAGGAAGAACAACTCCTTATGGTGCCAAAAAAGAAGAAGGCCTTAAGAGGAAAACCAGCAAAATGTTTAAAATATTGATTTCTTAATTTTGGGTTGGAAAAGTGGGGGGGCGTTTTATACATGGGGGCGTCATACATGGAAAATACAGTACCTTTCAAGTGCGTGCAGGACTTGATCTTCCCTAGGGGTAGTCACGGACTTGAGATGTGTCCTGAGTTAGGAAGGAGCAGGAGGTCTTATTTGTAATTCAGGTGGCTAGCCCAAAAGGGAGACAAGATCCCATTGAATCCGCATCCCCTTGAAAAACACAACCACCAAAACACAGCTTTATTAAGATAAAATTCACATACCCTACAGCCACCCATTAACATGTAGCGGTCAGTGATTTTTTTTAGTGAATTCACAGAGTTATACAACCATGACCATAATAAACGAACATTTTCATCACCCCAAAGGAAGTACTCCATGCCATTGTCCCTGTAGACTCCCCCGGCCCCCAGCCCTGGCAACCACTAACCTACTTCCTGTCTGTGCAGAATTGCCTTTTCTGGGCATTTCATACAAATGGAAACATATATTATGTAACCTTTTGTGTCTGATTCTTTCCCTTAGCATACGTTCTCAAGATTCATTCGTGTTGTAGCCTGTCGGGACTTCATGACTTTTATGGATGAATAATATTCCATTGTATGGATAACACTACATTTTGTTTATCCATTCATTGGTTGATGGACATTTAGATTGTATTTTGTGTGTTTGTTTACTATTATGAATAATGCTGCTATGAACATTTGTGTACACGTTTTTTGTTTTTTTAAAAAAGATTTTTAAATTGATTTTTAGAGGGAGAGGCAGGGAGAGGGAGAGAAAAACATGGATGTGAGAGCGTAACATCGATCGGCATGCCTCCTGCACGCTCCCTACTAGGGATTGAGCCTGCAACCCGGGCATGTACACTGACTGGGAATCAAACTGGCGACCCCTAGGTACACGGGATGACACCCAACCAACTGAACCGCTCGGGCCAGGGCTGTGTACAAGTTTTTGAGTGGACATATGTTTCTCTTGGTGTATGTCTAGGAATGGATTGCTGGGGCACATGGTAACTCCATGTTTAACCTTCTGAGGAACTGCCAGACTGTTTTCTAAAGTGGCTGCACCATTTTACATTCCCATCAGCAGGGTGTGAGGGTTCCCGTTTCTCCACATCTTAGCCATCACTTGTCGTCGTTGGTCCTTTTGAGCCTGGCCATCTGAGTGAGTGTGAAGTGGAATCTCATTGTAGTTTTGATTTGCGTATCCCTGATGGCTAATAATATTGGGCATCTTTCCATGTGCGTACTGGTTATTGGTGCATCTTCTTTGGAGAAATGTCTGTCCATATCCTTTGCCCACTACTAATCGTCTAATGTGTCTTTTTATTGTTGAGTTGTAAAAATTCTTTATACATCTCATGTAAGTCTTTTATCAGATTTGTAAATATTTTCTCCCATTCTGAGGCTTTAAAAAAATTATATATATACACATATGTATGTGTGTATATATATATTTATACATATATATGTGTGTGTGTGTATATATATATATATTTTTTGTGTGTGTGTGTGTGTGTGTATGTGTGTATTTATTTCAGAGAGGAAGGGAGAGGGATAGAGAGATAGAAACATCAATGATGAGAGAGAATCACTGATCGATTGCCTCCTGCACACCCCCTACTGGGGATTGAGCCTGCAACCCAGGCATGTGCCCTTGACCAGAATCGAGTCTGAGACCCCTCAGTCCACAGGCTGACGCTCTATCCACTGAGCCAAACCAGCTAGGACTGAAGGCTTTTTCTTGATGGTGTCCTTTGAAACACAAAAGTTTCTAATTTTTAAGAAAATATGTATTTTATTGATTTTAGAGAGGAAGAGGGAGAGATAGAAACATCAAAAGTGAGAGAGAATCATTGATCAGCTGCCTCCTGCATGCCCCTTACTGGGGCTCGAGCCCACAACCTGGGCATGTGCCCTGACCGGAATTGAACCGTGACCTCCTTCCTGGTTCATAGGACAATGCTCAACCACTGAGCCACACCGGCCAAAAGTCTCTAATTTGATGAAGTCCAATAAGCCACACATTTTAAAGTTGCTGTTCATATCTAAGCATATTCTTTTGCTAAGCCCAAAAGGGATTAATTTGATTCCATGTTCAAGAGCGTTACCCCTTTAATGTTTTCTGTAACAGGACCCAATTGCTTTCCCTTTTAGGGTGTCGTATGATAGGAGCCCCCTCTATCAGAGGACTTGCCCAGCATAAAACAGTAGCATCATACCCTTTGTCCCGCTCCCCTGAGTGTAATTCACACACAGGCCCGTGTTTTCCCAATCTGTTAGCATTTTGGTCTTTTCTCCTTCCAGTTTTTTTACTTCTTTTCTTAAAGAAAACTTGCGTTCTGATTATTAAAGCAATGTTTTTTAGTGTAGAAAATTTGGAAATTCCAGAAGACCGTAAAGAAGAAAGTGGGTCAATTGCAACCCCAGCCGTACAGGAGAACAACAGGAACTTTCCTGGGACATGTGGTTGGCATTGGGTCCCGTTTGAAGTACGTTCCATGTATTATCTCATTTTTTTTGTTTTTTTGTTCATCCTCACCTGAGGGTATTTTTTCCATTGCTTTTCAGAGAGAGTGGAAGGGAGGGAGGGAGGCGGAGATAGAGAGAGAAACATCAATGTGAGAGAGACACATTGATTGGTTGCCTCCCACAGGCTCCCTGACCAGGGGTGGGGAGCAAACCCACAAACCAGGTATGTGTTCTTGACCAGGAATCCAACCCACAACCCTTCGGTCTGAGGGCAGATGCTCTAACCACCTACCCACACCAGCCAGGGCTCAACCATTTTTTTTTTTCCAGAAGCCACTAAGAACATTTTGATAGATAGCCTTCCAGTATTTTATATATTTTTTCTTTTTTTTTTTTTTAGTTTATCTTTATTGTTGAAAGTATTACAGATGTCTCTTGTTTTTTGTTTTTGTTTTTTCCCATTGACTCCCTCCACCCGGCACCCACCCCTCCCAAGCTATCACCGCACTGTTGTCCATGGGCTATGCATATATGTATGTAAGTTCCCCAGTTAATTCCCCACCCCCCGCCTTCCCTCTGAAATTCGTCGGTTCCATGGTTCTATGTCTCTGGATCTATTTTGTGCATCAGTTTATTTTGTTCATTAGATTTCACGTGTGAGGGAGAGCACGTGATACTTATCTTTCTCTGACCTTCCAGTGGCTTATATATGTTTTTTCTTAAAACAATGGGAATTTTAATAAGCTATGGTTTTGTATCCTCTCTTTTCACTTAATATTTTATCATGCCTGTTTTCGGTTCTCCTGAATATTATTAAAAAAAAAAACGGTTCTTCAGCATTATTGCCTATGTTCTCATAGGACTGGAACTCAGGTTATTTATAATTTTTGGCAATCATATTTATATACATTTCAGTGAGCATTGTTACACCCAGTGTTTCTAGAAATGGGGAGGTTGGGTTCATATTTGAGTGCCTGCGATGGGCTAGGTCCCTGGTCGGCAAACTGCGGCTCTTTGGCCCCTTCAGTGTGGCTCTTCCACAAAATACCACGTGCGGGCGCCCACGTACACTGCGATTGAAACTTCGTGGCCCATGCGCAGAAGTCGGTATTTTGTGGAAGAGCCGGTATTTTGTGGAAGAGCCACACTGAAGGGGCCAAAGAGCCGCATGTGGCTCTCGAGCCGCGGTGTGCCGAGCCGCAGTTTGCCGACCACGGGGCTAGGTGACGTCAGCGTGGGACAGGACTGCAGCCAGGCCCCAAGGAGGCAGCGGGAGTGAGGCAGTTGAGCACCCAAGTCTTGGGACTCAGACCAGCCACCTATCCTCGTCCTGCCTCCGTGTGTCTGTGACATGGGCCCACGAGACGGGGTGCTGAGGCCCTTGGCAGGCAGCCGGTAAGTCCTGTGGGTCAGGTTGGATGAGTATTTTCAGGCCCGTGATGTAAATTACCAGGAACAGACATGTAAACCGTTTTGCTCTTCCACCAGCGTTACCAGGACTCCCAATGGTTGTTTTGTTCACTGTAAGGAGCAGGGGCTTCCCTGGTAGGGGACGTGTTTAACGGTGCGGACTAGCCTCCGGATGTCAGCGAGCCCTGGTTGGTGGCAGCTGGGAACAGCGCAGAGAGCGCCTTTCCCAAAGCTCAGACGTGGAAGGGCTCCTCGATGGGCCTTTCCCTCTCGTTACTTCTTTCTCTTTCTCTGGGCAAAGGAGTGTGTCCCCAGGAGACTCCTCCTTCCAGCCTGCGTGGTGGTTGCAGAAAAGCTGTGAGGCTCAACAAATGACGCCCGAACCAGGCTTCCTAAGGGTGAACAATGTCGCCTGCGGCTGAATTCCGAGATGGGATTGTGTGCTGAACGAGAGAAGAGGAGGGAGAGGAGGGATGGCCGATGCTGTCGACCTACGTGGACTCGGGCTCTGGTAACCAACACTGCAGGTTGTCCTCGTTGCCT